AATACATTCTATTAGAAAGAATCAAAACTATCAGTATTAATAGACAGTATGATTATAGCTTAAGAAATCCTAGAAAAAAATCATCTTTAAAAAGACTATTAGGACCATCTTAGACAGGCATGATGGCTCATGCCTATAATCCCAGCACTTTGGGAGGTTGACTCCGGTAGATCACCTGAGCTCAGGAGTTCAAGACCAGCCTGGGCAACATGGCAAAAACCTGTCTCTATCAAACAATACAAAAAAATTAGCTGGACATGGTGGCATGCGCCTGTGGTCCCAGCTGCAAAGGAGGCGGAGATGGAAGGATGGTTTGAGCCTGGGAGGCAGAGGGTGCAGTGAGCCGAGATTGTGCCAGTGCATTCCAGCCTGGGTGACAAGAATAAGACCCCATGTCTTTAAAAAAAAGAAAAAAAAGAACCATCTTGAGTGGGTATTGTTTCACAAGTGTATACATGTATTCAAAGCTTATTAAATTGTATATTTGACATCTGTGCATTTAATTGTATATACATCTTGATTAAAAACCATTAGAACTAATAAGAGTTTCATGAAATGACTGGTTTAAAGATTAACATGAAATAAATCAGTAGCTTTGAATAACAGAAAAAAAAAAACCTTATTCACAATAGCAACAAAACCTATAAAACATCTAATAAGACATGTGCAAGACTTACATGGAAAAACCTTTGAAATTTATTAAAGAGCAAAAAAGAAGACCTGAATAAATGAGTTCTACTATGTGCATATATGGAGAGATGCAATTTTTTTTTTAAAGATAATTCTCTCCAAAGTAACCTTTTTAATGGAGACAGGGTTTTGCTCTGTTGCCCAGGCTGGAGTGCTGTGGCATGATCACAGCTCACTGCAGCCTCGATCTCCTGGACTCAATCAATCCACTCACCTTAGCCTCCTGAGCAGCTGTGACCCCAGACGCATGCCACCACGCCTGACTAGTTTTAGTATTTTTTTGTAGAGACGGGGTCTCCCCATGTTGCTCAGGCTGGTCTCAGACTCCTGGGCTCGAGTGATCTGCTGTCTAAGCCTCCCAAAGTGTTGGAATTACACGTGTGAGTCACTGTACCTGGCCCAATTTGATCTTTCTATTTAACACAACCCCAGTTAGAATCTCAAGTGGTGGTTTTTTCCCTCATGGATATTAAAAGTGCACGTTGCATTCTTCATGTCTTGAGTTTGGTGCTTCTTCCCAATTCACAGCAAGGTGTTATATAGACAAGGAGAGGCCTTCTAAAACTTGTGGTAGGAGAAAGTAGCCTTAAACAAGGGAGAAAAGACAAAAGCTACAAGGAAAGGATTAAACTATTTGACTACTTCAAAATCTTACATTTTTATATGACAAAAGATGACATAGACAAGGTTAAAATAAAAATACTGTTTAAGAAGGACATAAAAAGCATTAATGATTTGTACCTAAAAGTTTATGGTTCTTTAAATCTTGCTGTAAATTACACAAGCATTATCTTTACAGCTAAATGTAAAGGTAGGGGTAAAGAAGTAATAAAGCTTTTCCTCTTCTGCCTTACAGTTTGGCCTTCAGTTAACTTCAGTAACTGTTATCTGTTACTCTGGAAACTCGGTAAAGGTAGATAAATGTCAACTATGTCATTAGCAGCCTCACTTATATGTATATTTTTTCTCGTTAGAAATAAAGATCTCCTTTTAGAACCTCATTTATATTAAAGCAATTACCTGGCTAGCAAATTGCATCTGGACCGGCACAACTATATATATCTGATGAAGGGGCAAAGGTTTGGGCTTCCCTGAGTATAGTATTGGGCTCCCAGGGTCCCTGGAAGCTATGCCCATGAAGTTCTTACAAGAAATATTGGCTCCCTGAGGGCTAAGAGACAGACTTCTAGGTCAGAACAGCTGCAACACTGGTCTGATACAAGTCTTGTGTTCTTGTACCTGAGCTACTGGTGAGCTCCAGGAGAGTTGGAGGGAGCAGCAGTGTGGATTGCTGCATAGATTACCATAAGGTTTTCCAGGGAGGTGGAATGTGTGTGTCCTGCTCCAAGATGTCATCCCTGACCTACATCCTCTCAAGCAAATCTGGTGCCACATGTGGCCCATGGTAGTCTGAATGAGTCTAGATGTTAGCTGTACCTAAGAAGCCCCCTGGTGGCTGTTGCCCACAGTAATACAGGTAATTTATACTTGAGCTATATGGAAAAGGACTGATAATATAATCATGCTAGATAATCGGATTGAGATTTAGTTAACTCACCCATGACAAATCTTATGGCTAGCATGAGGTCATAGTGCAGCATATGTATCCCTGTTGTTTCTTGCGGCAGCAGACATAAATTACAGTATGGGGCCAGAAAGGTATCTACACCTCTGTGTCATGAGACTAGGAAACTCAAATCTGTATGTGATCTTATTAATATTTTTCCTTAGAACAGCCAATATTTGTGATCTTATCAAATATTTCATAAGAAGAGCCAATTTAGGTTTCTCAGGTTTCAAGCTGGTGATACAGGACCTGAGTTTTAGGGGTGGAAGTTTTCTTCCTCCATAGACATGCCTTTAAATCAATTGACCTTTAGGAACAGCCTGCCTGCCCATCTGCCCCTTTCATGAGCAGACCCAAATAGGACTACACAGACCCAGCCCCAATTGTTCTTGGTAGGTTAGCATATGTGTTACATGATCTAGCCAGCCTTAGGACAGCTTTAGGTTGGAGAGAACAGTTACTTGGGTCAAAACTGACTGCAGAGTAATCAGGAGTCAAAACATCCTCTTCTGATCTCTTATATAAAGAAGGTAACCCCCACCCCATACCCTGTGCATCATGTGAGTAAAACAATGCTATTCCTACTGTAAAAGCCGCTTATTTTCAATGCTTTTGTCCTTTAGGAAAGGCTCTGTCAGCATTCTTTGTGACTATGCAGTTAGGTCATTATATTACTTGGATCCTATAAAAAGACCACTGTAGGATCAGGATTTACCTAGTTTTGATTGTGATATTGCGGTGGGCAGGGGAGAGAGAGAGAGAGAGAGAGAGAGTGTCTCGTAGATACTTCTTCCTCAGAGACACAATTTACAAGGAGCCAGAAACCCTGGTCCAAGAGTTCTAATTTTTAATGATAAATCTGTTGATTTGGGTTAGATCAGGGGTGTCATCTGAACTTTCTACATGTATTCTCTTATTAAGTTTCACTAAGTTATAAAACTAAGAAAGTAACAGTGCTGTTATTAACAAGTTAAACAGAAAGATTTATAAAGAAAAATGAACATTCCCCCCTTCCAATGCCACTCTTTCTTTTTAGTCAACCAATGCAAAAAAAAAAAAATTAGTGTACATCTTTCTATTTCATTCTCTATGCTCACAGAAACACATATAAATGACATGCGCATCATGTAGAATTTTTTTATGTTCCCACTGCATGTGTGACTCTGCAATTTGCTTTTTTCACTTAACACATTGTGGATATGTCTGCAAGTTCTTACATATAGATTTTACTCATTATTTTTAATAATAGCATAATATTCTAAGATTTTTAACTCTTTCCCTATTGATGGACATTCAGGCTGTTCCTCTTTTCTTCTTTTTCTTATGTACAGATTTTACTCATTTTTAATAATAGCATAATATTCTAAGATCTTTAACCTTTCCCCATTGATGGACATTCAGGCTGTTCAGGCTGTTCCCTTTTTCTTCTTCTTTTTTTTTGAGCTGGAGTCTCGCTCTATTGCCCAGACTGGAGTGCAGTGGCTTGATCTCAGCTCACTGCAACCTCCGCCTGCTGGATTCAAGCAATTCTCCTGCCTTAGCTTTCTGAGTAGCTGGGACTATAGGCACGCGACACCATGCCCAGCTAATTTTTTGTATTTTTAGTAGAGATGGGGTTTCACTGGCCAGGCTGGTCTCATACTCCTGACCTCATGATCCTCCTGCCTCGGCCTCCCAAAATGCTGGGATTACAGGCGTGAGCCACTGCGTCCAGACCTACCTTTTAGTTTTTTAAGACTGGGTCTTGCTCTGTTGATCAGGCTGTAGTGCAGCGGCACGATCTTTTCTTTCTTTCTAAAAGGTGTGGTTTTGCTATGTTGGCCAGGTTGGTCTTTAACTCTTGGCCTCAAGCAATCCTCCCGCCTCGGCCTCCCAAAGTGCTAGGACTACCATTGTGAGCCACTGCACCCAGCCAAGCTACACCTTTTAAAATGTGACTAACTTATGCCTGAAAGGAATAATTATTTCTATTTTATTTGCCTTGTTTTTCCAGTTACTTCGGGCAGATCATTTAGAACAAACAGGGAAGCACAGGACTTGCCAAACAAAAAAGAAAAACATGTCAGGGCAGCACCTCGTCTGCTGAGGAATAGGCAGAAAGTTCTCATCATAAATGTAGGGGGTTTTGCTTCTCTTGTTTTTTAAGTTGGACTTTTAAAGTAGAAGATGCCTTTAATGTACTGGTTTGCAGAAGAGGAAATCTGATTTTCAGTGTGATAAGACATTCTTTGACATTAACCAGTATGGCTGGATTTTTAATGACACTTTCATCTTCAAAGGCTTTACCAACACAGATGGATTAATTATTCATTTTTGGGGGGGTTGTGTGTTAAAACGACAAGTCTTCAAAGCCATCATCTTTTCTCCTTGGAACTGGGGCTCTCCACTTTTCACATGTTGCTTTCCTGCCCCCAAGCAAGAAAATTAATGGCACTTTTTAAAGAAGAAGAATCCAATGGAAAAGTACTCTTTGCACTGTGGAAAGATGATGCCCTTATATCTTGGATGAGATTAGAAGAGGGGGCTGGGAAACAGTATTTAAGTTGTGTTTACAGTAAGCACTGTGAGAAATAACCGGCTAAGCGCGTTTGTTGTTGTTCAGTCTTTTGATGTACTCCTAAAAAGTCGCATATAACTATAAAACACCCTGAGTCAAACGTAAGTTGGAACATAATATGCAGACCCTTATATTCTTTACTAAAGTCTGTATTTTTCCTGTTCCCTCCAAACATGCCTCATTGAGTTCTTAAAAGATTCGGGTTTCGGAGAAGAAAAACCTCAAGCCTCGCCCCGGGTCTTCCTTGACTTGACACATTTTATAACTGCAGGAGAGCAGTCTTTCCTTTGATGAGGCAAAGACCCCAGCAATGAAAGAGCAAGTGTAAGTTTGCAAACACCCGAAAAGCTTCTTCCATTAGACTTGGTCTTGGGAGACCACAAGGGACAGTCAAGTGATTTTCAAGGAGAAAGCCTCTGGTCCACTTTCCCTCCGCGGCAGGTTCCTGGGAGGAGCTCTTCACAAATCCTAAAGATTGCTATGCTCTGGGCTAACGACTCATCTCTTGAAGACCTAGAGTGGTGGATTACAGGCATTGAAAAGCTTTTGGTGGCTTTGGAAGATGACTCTGTTTGGTGTGAGCTCACCTTTCCAGGCTGGGGGGCCAGGCAGAGGAACCCTCTTTGTTATCTTTTGAAATAAGATCAGCGGGAACACGGTGTTTGAAGTGTGGATTAGGAGGTCCTACCTCTTTGCCTGGCACCTCCGCCTGAACCTTCATAAAAAGATCGAGTAGTGTAATGGAACTTCAGGAATCATGCAACGTCTCCTTGAAGCCTGTCCAGGAACCTAACTTCTGGACCCAGAAACGTCTCCAAAGACAGACCCGCCGAGCCAGGCAGTCTGGATGCACCAGCACTTCTGCTTCGAAGATTCTCTTTCGTCTTCTTCTATTGAGAGATTGACCTCTTGGGTGATTTGTGTGCTTTCGGGCGAATGATGGAGGCACGTAAACCGGTGGGACTGCTGGCCTTGCCCTACTCGCTGCGCACCGCGCCCCTGGGCGTGCTGGAGACCCTGCCCGGACTCCCGCGGAGGGACCCGCTCAGGGTCGCCCTGCATCTGGACGCGGTGTGCCGGGAGTGGGCGCGCGGCGGCTGCGCACGGAGACGGCAGTACCTGCCCCTGCCGCTGGACGGCGCCTTCGAGCCCGCCTTCCTCCGCAGGCGCAACGAGCGCGAGCGGCAGCGGGTGCGCTGCGTGAACGAGGGCTACGCGCGCCTCCGAGACCACCTGCCCCGGGAGCTGGCGGACAAGCGCCTCAGCAAAGTGGAGACGCTCCGCGCCGCCATCAGCTACATCAAGCACCTGCAGGAGCTGCTGGAGCGCCAGGCCCAGGGGCCCGAGGGCGCGGCCGGCGCCGCCCCCCAGCGCAGGGCGGAATGCAACAGCGACGGCGAGTCCAAGGCCTCCTCGGCGCCGTCGCCCAGCAGCGAGCCCGAGGAGGCGGGCAGCTAGCCAGCGCCCGGGCCGGCCGGGACCCCGGCAGCCCCGCGCCCGCCGCACGGCTCTCAGCCTACGGTTCTCCCCGAAGGTGGTTTGCATTCTTAATCTGGTATCTTCTCCAGGCCTAAATCTTAGGAAAAAGCAATGGGTGCTGGGGGTTGCGGGGAAGGGAGCTGTTTTGACATTTGAGAATTTCTCCCCTGCCCTTATTAAGTGCATGAAACTTAAGGGTGCTTGTTAAGGAAACTCTTCCATACTTCTAAAATGCAAACTGTTCCAGATTCTGAGCGTCTCATTGTAAATACGATTATTCTAGAAACTCAAAGGGCGAGAATAACTGGAATTTCCTACCATCCGTGGTGTGGGTAAATCGTATACGTAAGTATTAAACCTTAACCAAAGAAGAACTTTACCACCACCAAAACAAAAACAACCCCAAACAGCCAAAAACAGTCTTTAAAATGACAGCAACATTTTCTTGCATTCCTTCCTTTGGGAATTATATTTGAAATTTAATTGAAAAAAATTTTCGACCTCCTGCTTTGGGTGAAGGAGACTGTAAGCTGATACTTGAGAACAACACGTGCTGTTGACTGTGTGAATGATGTTGCCAGGGAAGCCATGGCTTGATACACACTGTTTCATCCAGTGGCCACGTGGAAGCTTTGTAGCATTGAGCAGATGATAATGTGTCTCAGAACTAATGATCTTTTTGGAATAGAGCCCAGATTTGTATGAAAACTTGTTTTTCCTCTCAATTGTTTTGTCCACTGTTTTTTTTTTTTTTTTTTCATTTTCCTTTTCTCTGCATTTCCCCCACGCCACTCCTTGTAGCTCTCCATCTAAGCTTTGGATAAACTAAAGGCACTGTGACTTTAAAAATAAACAGGAAATCTACTTGGAAGTCCTTTTTGAGGGCTGAACCGGATAGGGGAAAAGATCTGGGACAAGAGGGCTGGATTGAGGTTGGTACATTCTCAAATACTTTTATCACCATGAGGGCTTCCAGGTACAGTATGTGGAAATTATGTAGTGATTTTGGCCGTGTTAAAAGTCTTTTTAAAATATTTAATCGGGGTCCCTTTTTTTTCTGAGAAACAATTTTGAGTTCAGTAGATAGGTTAAATGCTTGTGAATGTATGAAGATAAACTTCCCTAAGACTGATTTCCAATATGCTGAATTATCCTTTCCATGGAGGCAGCTTTGGTTTGTGGGCGAAGGAGGAGGGAAAATGGAAATGGACAAGGAGAACTAACAGTGGAAGTGCATTCTCCAGGTAGATTTCACTTAGATTTTATGACCCCCTTTTACAGGTGTAGCAACTAAGGCAGGCTATATATTCAGTGGATATCTTTTATGTGCCAGGAATTTTGTTGTGGCTTTTTACATTTTGTCCTATTTAATTGTCATAAATTTGTGGGGTGGGTATGACACATATTTTGTGGTTTAAGAAAAAAAAATATGAAGCTCAAAGAGGTTACCTAGCATGACCAGTTTAATGTTGCTAGGATTCCTTGAGGTGAGACCCAGTCCTGAGCCTGAACCCAAAGTCCAGGATTTCTTTCTCCCTTGCCGTGTCATCTCCTGCTCTGTCATTTGCTAGTAGGGTTATTGGAGCTAATGTTTCTGCGACTCAGTTTTCTCACCTGTACAGAAATGTTTACAGAAGTTTATGTGAAAGACCTTGGTAATCTGCAAGGTGCTAACCAATGGCAAATTAATAGTGTTGTTATTTTGGGGTAAATACTATTTCTCAGTTTATGGAAAGTAAAGCCTGGTTAAGAATAAAATCTCTAGGTGGAGTTAGTGTGATTTCTTCAGTGTTTCAAAAGAGGAACAGAATGACCACATTCTCTTACTTTCTTTGGTAAGGTTCTAGGATACATGCTTTGAACACTTAATCCATGTTAAAACTGTCATTGGCTGGGTACAGTGGTTCACCCTGTAATCCTAGCACAATGGGAGGCAAAGGTAGGTGGATCGCTTGAGCTCAGGAATTTGAGACCAGCCCAGGCACTGGGAACCTTAATGTGGTTTTGTTTGAAGCCCTGTTGAGAATAAGGCAATGATTTTGAGAAACCTTTTGGAAAAATAAAAATAAAACCCTCTCTCAGCTGGGTGTGGTGGCTCATGCCTGCAGTCCTAGGACCTTGGGAGGCCAAGGCAGAAGGATCAGTTGAGGCCAGGAGCATGAGACCAGCCCTTGGCAACATACAGAAACCTTGTCACTACAAAAATTAAAAAAGTTTATCCAGGCTTGGTGGCACGCCTCTGTAGTTCCAGCTACTCAGGAGGCCAAGGCTAGAGGTTTGCTTGCACTCAGGTGTTTGAGGCCACAGTAAGCCATGATTGTACATCAGCCTGCACTCCAGCCTGAGCTGGAGTGAGGCTGTGATTAAAATAATAATAGTAATAATAGTTAAATGAAAACCTCTCTCAATCATATAACTTTTTAAAATAGAAAAATAAATCATGCAGTTTTTCTGGGACCTTCCTCGTGACTTACAGGAGGAGCATCAATCCAGGAATGAGACCTTTTAAAATGTTTGACCTCTTTTCCTGCAAAAGATCACTTCATTAACCCTAGAACAATTTGACTTTCTTTTTTTTTTTTTTTTTTTTTT